TTTTAACTTAAAAAATAGGTTCGGATGAAAAGTGAGAATTTGAGAGTGTACTCAACTATCTTAGCATATTTTGTGCTTTTACACGTCAACATATCGTAGCAGCGTCCACACGACAAACATAATTGCGAACATCAAAAAACAGCGACAGTGTTTCCATAATTATAGCAAGTGCCTCTGATGATGGTTGTGTCAAACCGAAACATGTAAGGCAGAAATAATAATAAAAAGTGACCTACAAATTGTTACACTCGACGGACTTTCTATTAACTTTGTGATTGATAGTGTAACGGACCAAAATGAAACAATTTAAAATTTATTACTATAAATTTACATAAATACTTTGAGGAACAAGATCTGGAAATTGCTGCCATTCAAATAAAAATAAATGAGGTTAAGATAATTATATTCGGTATATATAGAGCTCCATTGGGTAGTTTTGATTACTTTATTATTAAACTTGATTATATACTTAATTTCTTTCATGAATATCACTTGGAATTTATATGTGGGGATATAAATATAAATTATCTGGAATCAAGTAGTAAAAAACTAAATTTCATGACATCTTAAATACTTATAATCTAATGGGTATGGTGTATTTTCCCACGAGAATCTGTACTAATTCAGCTACCTTGATTGACAATATATTCATTGACAGCAGAAGAAGTTATACCATAAAACCATGTATAAATGGATTATCAGACCATGATGCTTAGCTTTTACTTAGTAACTTACTTATGCCTAATCGGACACCTGAGACTATCTACACTAGAAACATTAATAATAATACTATCATGGAATTTAAATTCATCCTAAGTTGGGAAGTTTGGGATATGTATTTGATAATAATAATGTCAATATTATATTTAATAATTTTAATATATGTATTTAAGATGTTTTTATGCTTGCTTCACTAAAAACGGATTAGTCTTAATAATAATCATAGTAATTGGATTACTAAAGGGATAAGAATTTCATGTAAGAGAAGGAGAGAACTTTCATTATTATGTAGACATAGTAATGACTCAAGTTTAAAAACATATTTTAAACAATATTATAAACTATTATCAAATGTAGTTAGTGAGGCGAAAACAATTTTACTCTAATGAAATCGTTGCTAATTCCAACAGTAATATGCGAAGAACCTGGAAGATAATAAATGAAGAAAAAGGTAAAATAAAATGAGATAGAGGCATGCATTCTATTGTGAAAGATGATAAACTTATAACCAATCAGAATGAAATTGCTGATGTTCTTAATAAATATTTTTTGACTATTGCAGATTCTGTTATAGCAGATACATAAATATGCAAGGACAGGTATAACAGATTCAGTTACTTATTTGACAGATATTTTTAAGACAGTTTTCAAAGATGAGTTGGCAATGTGTAACTACTCATGAATTTGAAAAAATTATAAAAACATTAAAGATGAAGAATTCTTGTGGGTATGATGAGATCTCAAGTAGAATAATTAAACTGAGTGCTCCATACATAATTTTACCATTAACATATATTTGTAATGCTCTTTGAGTACCGGTGTTTTTTCAGATAGATTAAAATATGCTTTGGTCAAGCCTTGTTTTAAGAAAGGAAACACACAAGAAATAGCCAGTGACAGGCCTATATCATTGCTGACTTCTTTCTCGAAAATAATTGAAAAACTTATTTTCTTGAGATTAATTGCGCATATTGAAGCGAATGATATTTTGGCTCCTGAACAGTATGGATTTAGGACTCCTCTTTTGACTGAGAAGGCAGCCTTCTCTCTATTAGACGGTATTCTTACAGCTATGAATGTATTTTGGCTCCTGAACAGTATGGATTTAGGACTCCTCTTTCAACTGAGA